CAAAGGGAGAGTTTTTCATCCTACCTACCATTCCGCCTTAAGTTAAGGACTTTAAGCAAACAAAAACCAAGTGGAAAAGCAAAGTCCCTACGGTATTTTCAACGTGTTTTTTTCCCAAACCTCTCCATAGTTTTACTAGCCCACATACCCCCTCCTAAAAGAAAACCCTCACGAACTGTATAAACGTAATGCCCGGTCAGAATCATCTGTGTTCCAAATGAATACATCACTTACCTTCTGCCTTCTGCCTTTTCCCCAGACACTTTTATGAAGGGTTGACAGATAAATAGATGCAATTGTCATTAAAACGTCAGATGAGGGAATACATCAGGCTCTAATGAAATCCATCTTCATTGGTGCAGAACCGGGAAGAAGAACCAGGAAAAGACCCAGAAGAGCCAGAGGACCCAGGACACCTGCCTGTTCCCTCAGCCGCACGGAGCCTGAAGCCGCGCAGGCAGGCGTGTGCCTTCAGACAGCTTGCACTCCCCGGCTTTAAGGAGGTCACTTTTCCAGGTCTCACTCTTGCAAAAGGGTTAAGTTTTGATCAGCCCATTGGCATATAACCTGGTTGACCTCTTTCATCCCGTCTTTCTTCCTTTCTTCTGTCTTAACATCCTGAGCCACTTGATTGGTGTGACGCACCTAACGATACATCCAGCTGCAACAACAGCAAATGCAGAAGGGAGACATGACTCGAGAAAAAGGAAACACAAATGAACCAGAGCATGCGTCCCCCACACGTCAGGACTGGGAAGAGGGAAGCCACATTTCCCAGGGGAGAGGTGACGTCTCTGCTGTGGTCCTGCAAGCACAGGAATGAGCCCACATGCCAGCCCTTTGTCTGGGCCAGGAAGGCTGGGGGCCGCCTTTGTCCTTCCCCTCCCGTGGCCTGGCGGGAGGGGAGAGGTGACGTCTCTGCTGTGGTCCTGCAAGCACAGGAATGAGCCCACAGGCCAGCACTTTGTCTGGGCCAGGAAGGCTGGGGGCCGCCTTTGTCCTTCCCCTCCCGTGGCCTGGCGGGTTCTCTCGACTGTGCTCCTGTGACGTGAGATTCACACTCATCCCTGCGTCTGGTCCAGAGAGCGCTTTGATTTCATGGCCTCAGAGGAACTTCTCTGCTAAAGTCAGTCAAATTCTGTTTGACCACATACCAAATCATCCTGATCTGCCCGTAGAGCATTTGCAAAGTAGACTTTTCCAAGAGGAACTTGTGCATGTGTGAACTTTAAGATATAAAATATATCTCTATTTTGCATTACCTACTTTGAATTTTAAATGTCACCTCTAAAAATGTAGAAAGGCACTGTTGATGACTGTAATTTAGAGAAAGAAAAAAAAAAAGGGAAACCAAACCAAACTGAATCCCTGTTTCTTATAAAACATACTGTTGACCCACACATCATTTCATCCCCAGTCACAGAAGCTGATCCTTGCACAGATGACGCCCTCCAGAGCCCCGGCCTCCCAGGCTCACAAAGCTGCTCCAGGGGTTGGAGGCCACCCCTGGCTGCCTCAATGCATGTGAATCCTCAAAACCGAGCCCGCTGATGAGAAGCAAACCCCCCGCTCCAAAGTGGTGTGGCTTCCAGGCTGCATAACTGTGGCCTGGGCAGCTTCTCCCCCGATGCTTCTGTGCACTGGGCCCTAGCCCGGTTGCAGGAGGCACCCGACACTTCGGGTCTTTGGGGCACTCGGAAGAATCCAGACTGAGGTCTGTCCAGCTCTTCTCTTCTCAGAGGGCAAGAGTGATGGCGGGGGTCTCCTGGACAGCCGTCCCTTCCCAAAACCCTCAGGGGCATCTGTGCAGACCACATCATGGAACCAGGGCTGAACCGTGAGGCTCTCCATCTCCGGCTTGGTGCTCAGTGTCCAGGAAGAAAGGGCAGGCTCTCAACGCTGCTGGGGAGCAGAGGCATGTGCTGCAGCCTGCGGCTCACTCCCTCTCTCATCAGACATCCCTTCTCCACTCCAGCCTTTGTCCTCGCAGGTGAGGGCTCCCGCGGCAGGACAGAGGGGCCAGCAGGTGCCACCCCGGACAGCATGGCATGCTGGTGTTTGTGCCTCAGAAGGAGGCTTCTATGGGGCAAGAGAGTAAAGACCAGGAGGGGCTGCCAGGGCTGGCCTGGGGGAATTCAGACTGCGGACCCTGCCTCAGAGCCTCAGACTGAGCATGGGCTGCCTTCCAAGTCAGGCTGCAGCAGGCAGGATCTCCAGGTTTCCCATCCGACGCTGCAGGCCCTGGTGACTCTGACACCATGTGGCGGGCGTCTCCACGTATTTCATCTTGAGCTTGTGGTTTCATAGGAAGGTGCGCTGAGAGCAGCAGGCGTCGCAAAGCCCATGTTGTATGGAGGCAGTTGTGGTCACATCCTGCCCATGCCCACACATTCCCCTCGGGCTTCCATGCCATGGTAGGTTCAGTGCCAAAGCACAGGGGATGCAGGGTGGACAGCCTGCAGTCACCTCTCCCTCAGTCACATCGGGTCATCTGCTTATTCTGGATCAGGGGCCTTATTTCTGGCTTTGATTATCAGCCACATCCCCCAGCAGTCAGACCGTGAGGAGTCCCCTCAGTGTCCCCAGTCACTCAGCACCTTTGCACTGGGATGTGATTCCATCAGCTACTGTGGGCACAGCAGTGAGACCCCCACATCTGGGCAGGGTCACAGACAGAGGAAGTGGCTGGGTGCCACGGTGGCCCTCAGCTCCCTGGAGTACCCTCTGAGCATGTCAGGTGTTCCCTGCTGGCCAGGCCTCATCTTAGCTAAACTGACAGGAGATTGTGCATCGGCAGGGAAAGCAGCATGAGCTCTCGGACTCATGGGTTTCCTGCTTCCCTGACTCAGGTGAAGCTGCCTCCTGCCCACAGCCCTTCATGCACAGGAGGGTTTTCTCTTCTTCCTGCATTACTGAGCCTAGTGCCATCCTGGAGGCACAGCTGACTGCTTCCTGCAGCTCTGACAGCCCAGGCGGGCACCCACTGCACACTCAGAGCCGCTCCCAGCTCGGAGAGGTGCATGGGCCGTGGGCACCCATGTGGGCTGGGGGGTGAGGCCAGCTCAGCTGCAGACCCCAACCCCCCACTGCCTTTCCTGTGTCCCAGCTGGGTGCTCCCAGCTCGGAGAGGTGCATGGGCCGTGGGCACCCATGTGGGCTGGTGGGTGAGGCCAGCTCAGCTGCAGACCCCAACCCCCCACTGCCTTTCCTGTGTCCCAGCTGGGGCAGCTCAGTGAGATCGCAAAGGGGACCTCCTGGGCAGCCTTCTGCAGCCACAGACTCCACAGGACCCTCAGACCCCCAGCCCATGTCCAGATAAAGCTGACACCAGCCCCCGCCTGCCCACCTGACGACAGCGTCTCCTCAGGGCCCTGGGAGCAGAGCACCAGCCTGGGTGGGGGAGCATGACTTCAACTGCTGCTTTGCAGAGTGGGGTCCACGGCACCCACCCAGGGGGTTCTGAGGGTCTACGGGGTCTCGTTATAGAGTTCTGTGGGGATGGTGTACCCACCCCATGAGGGATATCAGTCAACTCAGCTGTTGCACAAAATTCTGCAGGTCGGTCTGAAGGTGCAGAAAGTGGGACTTAGGCTCAAGACCATGTTTGCAGGTTTTCTCCTGCAGCCGTTCTTGCCTTCTTCCTGTGTCCTTACTGTGGCCTTCTCTGTGTGTCGGCACCCCTGGTGTCTCTTCTCCTTCCTACAAGGACACCAGTCCTGTTGGATCAGGGCCCACCCTCGTGGCTTTGTTTAACCTCACATACCTCTTTCTAGGCTCCATCTCCAGACGCAGTCACACGGAGGCTTAGGGCCTCTACCTATGAATTTGAGGGACACCATCCATCTACAGAAGGGTCTTCATGTGACTCCGTGAGCTGCAGCACGTGAAGCATCTAGAACAGTGCTAGGCACTGCCTTTTCTAGCCCAGGGTCAGAGGTCAAGTGGATGCTGGATCTCTGACCCTCAATTTCACTGTCCCGTGGGCAGTGAGCCTCACGCACCCACACCAAGGAGGGGGCTGTGGTCCTCCAGGACCCTCTTCTCCAGTGAGTGTCAGTCACTGAGTTTGGGGTTTTGCTCCTGGTGAAGGCCGACTGGCCCCGCCTGTGTGGTGTTGCCCTTTGCTTCCAGTGTTTTCTATCCATCATCATGGGAATGTGGCTCCCAGGGCAGGTAAATCTTGGGGCTGCATTTGGGATTTTGCCTCTCTGTGCCCCAGCGCCCCATACGGTGGGAGCTCACCTCACTGGTCTAATGAAAAAAAAGACTAAAACATTCCCAGACATTTCCAACCAGGGACATTCTTCCCTCGTTTTACTCTACCACGGGGAAGACATGTTCTCCTTTGAACTCTGACCTCGAGCCCTCTACTTCGGGCTGTGACATCCAGAAATGGGAGTGGGGTTCTGGGGCCTGTGTCTTTTGGTTCACAACAACTTTTGCTTTTGCTCCATCGACTTGAGTCAACACTATGAGGACTTGCTGAAACTGATTAGGAGAATTTTGTAGCAGCAGAAAGTGCATGGGTGTGAGGTTCAGAAGTGGGTCGGGGTAGTCTGATGTGTTTCGCTGTCTCTCTGTAAGGCTCCATCCAGACCCCCACTCAGCAGGAGAGGTGCACTCTGCCCTCTGCCAGCGGCCTTGGATGGAAAGAGGCTGGAGGCAGGCGTCCAGGCATGGCAGAGACTGCCCTCTAGGAGCTGGCTCTCAGAGCCACGCAAAGACGCCCTCAGCTGAGCAGCCCTGGTGGAGGTGAAGACAAACCTCACATGTGGAGCCCGCGGTGCTGCAGCTGTGCCTGCAGGGAGCTCACACTGCACAGGGCCTTCTCGGCTACCAGCCTGGCTCCTCTGCCTTAGCAGTGTGTCTGTTCCAGTGAGACCTAACAAATCATAGCTCAGATCAGAGAATGCCTGGGAATGCAGGGGAGAGCCTGGGCATCTGCCGCATGCACAGATGCCTGGCCATGTGGTCACACAGGTCTCCTGTTTTCTTTCCAGGATTTGAAGACTGTCCTGTCTCTGCCCCAGCACCCAGGGGAGCTCCTGCACCCCGTGGTGTACGCGTGTACGGCAGTCATGCTGCTGTGCCTCCTCACCTCCATCATCACCTACCTTGTGCACCAGAGGTAAGGCTGGCACAGCGGAAGCACCCCCATTTTGCCCTGGGACCTAATGATTTATCTGTGAATGCACATCCATGAAATGGGGTTTCACCACCCCTCGCATGGCAAGAAGTCCCTAGAAGATGCTCCACCCATCACCAGCCAGCTTGAACCTGCCCAACCCTGGGTGCCCATCACAGAGCCAGAGGGTAGACAGGTGCTCAGGGGAGCCATGCCCTTCCACTCTGAGCCTCCACAGGGTCTTCTCAACAGCAGCCTCATGTTCTTATCAAATTGGGTGAAATAAGTTCTTCCTGAAGTGGGTGCAATGTCAGTCCAGGGGCGCTGAGAAGTCCACCTCCTTGGGGTGATGGAGTGAACTGCAGGACCCTCAAAGACCCTTCCATTGTGCCTCTGTCTAGAAGGGGGAGTCTGGTCAGTTTTCTGCTTCTGAACTTGTTTTTTTATCCATGTCTGGGAGTGAGGGGATAACCTCAGTGTGTCTGCATCATGTGGAGAGGCACCGGAGAATGTGAGGAGGGTCAGGGTCAGGGTCAAGCCCATCATCAGAGTCATGGGCAATGCCTAGGCCATGACCACAGCCATAGTCATGAGCAGAGGCTTGGGCGTGTCCAAGACCAAGATCATGGGCAGAGGCTTGGGTGTGTCCAAGAGCAAGATCATGGGCAGAGGCTTGGGTGTGTCCAGAACCAAGATCATGGGCAGAGGCTTGGGTGTGTTCAAGACCAAGATCATGGGCAGATGCTTGGGTGTGTTCAAGAGCAAGATCATGGGCAGAGGCTTGGGTGTGTTCAAGACCAAGATCATGGGCAGATGCTTGGGTGTGTTCAAGACCAAGATCATGGGCAGAGGCTTGGGCATGTCCAGAACCAAGATCATGGGCAGAGGCTTGGGTGTGTTCAAGAGCAAGATCATGGGCAGAGGCTTGAGTGTGTCCAAGACCAAGATCATGGGCAGAGGCTTGAGTGTGTCCAAGACCAAGATCATGGGCAGATGCTTGGGTGTGTCCAAGAGCAAGATCATGGGCAGAGGCTTGAGTGTGTCCAAGACTAAGACAATGTGCAGAGGCTTGGGTGTGTCTAAGACCAAGATCATGGGCAGAGGCTTGGGTGTGTCCAAGACCAAGATCATGGGCAGAGGCTTGGGCATGTTCAAGGCCAAGATCATAGGCAGAGACCTGGGTATGTTCAAGGCCAAGGTCATGGGCAGAGGCTTAGGCGTGTCCCAGACCAAGATCATGGGCAGAGGCTTGAGTGTGTTCAAGGCCAAGATCATGGGCAGAGGCTTGGGCGTGTCCAAGGCCAAGATCATGGGCAGAGGCTTGGGCGTGTCCAAGGCCAAGATCATGGGCAGAGGCTTGAGTGTGTTCAAGGCCAAGACCATGGGCAGAGGCTTAGGTGTGTTCAAGGCCAAGATCATGGGCAGAGACCTGGGTATATTCAAGACCAAGATCATGGGCAGAGGCTTGAGTGTGTTCAAGGCCAAGACCATGGGCAGAGGCTTAGGTGTGTTCAAGGCCAAGATCATGGGCAGAGACCTGGGTATATTCAAGACCAAGATCATGGGCAGAGGCTTGAGTGTGTTCAAGGCCAAGACCATGGGCAGAGGCTTAGGTGTGTTCAAGGCCAAGATCATGGGCAGAGACCTGGGTATATTCAAGACCAAGATCATGGGCAGAGGCTTGAGTGTGTTCAAGGCCAAGACCATGGGCAGAGGCTTAGGTGTGTTCAAGGCCAAGATCATGGGCAGAGACCTGGGTATATTCAAGACCAAGATCATGGGCAGAGGCTTGAGTGTGTTCAAGGCCAAGACCATGGGCAGAGGCTTAGGTGTGTTCAAGGCCAAGATCATGGGCAGAGACCTGGGTATATTCAAGACCAAGATCATGGGCAGAGGCTTGAGTGTGTTCAAGGCCAAGACCATGGGCAGAGGCTTAGGTGTGTTCAAGGCCAAGATCATGGGCAGAGACCTGGGTATATTCAAGACCAAGATCATGGGCAGAGGCTTGAGTGTGTTCAAGGCCAAGACCATGGGCAGAGGCTTAGGTGTGTTCAAGGCCAAGATCATGGGCAGAGACCTGGGTATATTCAAGACCAAGATCATGGGCAGAGGCTTGAGTGTGTTCAAGGCCAAGACCATGGGCAGAGGCTTAGGTGTGTTCAAGGCCAAGATCATGGGCAGAGACCTGGGTATATTCAAGACCAAGATCATGGGCAGAGGCTTGAGTGTGTTCAAGGCCAAGACCATGGGCAGAGGCTTAGGTGTGTTCAAGGCCAAGATCATGGGCAGAGACCTGGGTATATTCAAGACCAAGATCATGGGCAGAGGCTTGAGTGTGTTCAAGGCCAAGACCATGGGCAGAGGCTTAGGTGTGTTCAAGGCCAAGATCATGGGCAGAGACCTGGGTATATTCAAGACCAAGATCATGGGCAGAGGCTTGAGTGTGTTCAAGGCCAAGACCATGGGCAGAGGCTTAGGTGTGTTCAAGGCCAAGATCATGGGCAGAGACCTGGGTATATTCAAGACCAAGATCATGGGCAGAGGCTTGAGTGTGTTCAAGGCCAAGACCATGGGCAGAGGCTTAGGTGTGTTCAAGGCCAAGATCATGGGCAGAGACCTGGGTATATTCAAGACCAAGATCATGGGCAGAGGCTTGAGTGTGTTCAAGGCCAAGATCATGGGCAGAGACCTGGGTATATTCAAGACCAAGATCATGGGCAGAGGCCTGGGCATGTGCAAGACCAAGATCATAGGCAGGGGCCTGGGCATGTTCAAGACCAAGATCATAGGCAGAGGCCTGGGCATGTTCAAGACCAAGATCATAGGCAGAGACCTGGGTATGTTCAATACCAAGATCATGGGCAGAGGCCTGGGCATGGCCAAGGTCATAATTAGAGGCCTGGGCATGTGGAGCCTTGGGCATGTCCAAAGCTGAGGAGTCCAAGATCAAGGCGCTGGCAGATTTGGTGTCTGCTGAGGGCCTCTTTCCTGGTTCACAGATGACACCTTCTTGGTGTGTCCTTACATGGTGGAAGGGGCCACTTTCATGAGAGCACTAATCCCATCATGAGGGCTCTGCCCAATACCCCACTTCCTTACACCATCACATTGTGGCTGGATTTCAATGTATGAATTTAGGGGAAACAAACATTCAAACCACAGCAGCTGTGGTCATGGGAAGAGCCTTTTGCATGCTTGGGGCCATGGTGAAGGTCACGGCCACAGTCACAGTCAAAGTTTATCAATGTCAGTCCTGGCCGCAGCCAGGGGCAGAGCAGAGCTTTAGACGTGTTTATGGTCACGGAGACAGGCACAGGCCAGGTGATAGCAGGGTCACGTGCAGAGCCATGGTCATAGCCATGGCCTCTTCCTAAGGCCTCAAACATCTGCTCAGAGAGGGAAGAGCTCATCCTGGGGACCAGAAAGCACGACTTCCATTTCTCGACCGCAGACAGGCCAGGGTCTCAGGGCCTCCGCACCTTCATCTGCCAAGTGGTCAGATTGGTCAAGACTGCAAAAACCTTCCCAGTCTTAGCATTCTAAGGTGATTTAACATGAAATTATCTAACGGCAACCCACTAAGGGTGGATCCAGCACTGTCCATCCGTCTGTCCCTGACTTTCCTGGCCTGCCGAGGGCCCACCATCCCCATGTAGACAAAGCACATCCTTCAGACGAGAGGGCTCGTTCCCACGCTGCTCCCTGAAACGCTGGCTCCTAACGAGAAATCTCTGTTCCCCACAGTGCCATCCGCATCAGCCGGAAAGGCCGGCACATGCTGCTGAATTTCTGCTTCCACGCTGCTCTGACCGTCACAGTGTTCGCCGGCGGCATCAATCGCACCAAGTACCCCATCCTGTGCCAGGCGGTGAGTGCTGTTCCTGTTTCCATTGCCACCAAAGGGGATATGTGTGATAGCTGTCTTGCTTATGAAATAATATTCCAGTATGTGTTCAGTTGTGCCTGGTAAGGGAGCAGCGGGCATCCTGTGTGTCTGTAGGACGGTCTCACTCCATATGAATCCACTGTTTTGCTCCACATTTGATCATATAAATTATTTTTCATGGGACCGTCTTGCCCCAAGGCTTGTGGTGACATGCTAACAAGACACTTATCATCCAAGAAACCATGCTCTTCCCAGGACAGGGACACAACCTGCCTCTCCTAAAGAGACTGGGGGGAGCTCGGGAAGGACCATGTGCTTCTGGTCCAGGTTGGAAACTCTGGACACTGAAGCCTCAGCTCGTGACCAGGAGAAGAAGCTCCGTCACCTGTGGGTCACCAGGTTGTCCCGGCTGCGGTAGGTGTCCTGCCCCTGCAGGAACTGTGCTCCCTCTCAGGAAAAAGTGGAGCTTCAAAGCCCCTGAACATTGAAAAGAACAAGGGAAGTCATGAAACGGGTCTTCCCCACACTTGTGCCCAGCCTGACCTTGGTCTAAAAGAGGAGAAAGTATAAATCGCTCAGTGCCTCGCAGAGCTCATGGCAGAGACGCTTCCATCAGAACCAGGCCTGGTCCTCAACCCCTTTGGGCTGTGGCTTGGGCCAGGGAGAGGGGTGGCCACGAGCCTCTGCAGTGCAGGTCCAGCCCCACCCCCCGGCAGCCTGCTGCATGCCAGGCTCAGCCCCGTGGACCAGCAGCAACTTTTCACAGACCCCCGTGGTCTCTGTCACTGTCTGGGCTCGCACCTGGCAGCCCTCCTGGCACCCACACAGCCTCCTGACCCCCTTGCTGCCTCTGCCATCATGAGCTCAGCAAGAACCTCCTGCTGGCTGCAGAGCAGCCTCCATCTAGTCACCTGGACCCGCAGGCACCTGTCCCCTGCATAGGCGGCAGCGACCGAGACTCACCCTGGGGACGGTGGGTGAGAGGTTGCTCCTGCAGGGCTGCCTCAGGGAGCGTCGGGCTAAGAGCACAGCTCCCTGCATGGCCCACAGGCCTGGCCACAGCTGCAGAGCCTCCTTCTTCCCAGCACCACCTGATGTGAGGCCAGGAGTGGGCCACGAGCAGGCACCCATGCCCTTGACACAGCACTGCCGCCCCAGAGCTCTGGAGGCTGAGCCCAGCCTCTGCAAGAGGAGGCGTCATGTCTGTGACTGCATGTCATGACCAGCCGTGACAGGTCTATCCACCACCTGGTCCTGGGCCAGCACGGCCCTTACAGGGAAGTGGCGACACATGCCTGGCGAAGGCTGAGGGTCAGACACACTTCCCTGTTCACAGCCTCTCAATAAACCAGAAACGGCCACAGTGAGCTCCCAGGAAATCCAATTGACGTCTTGCATGTGGCACCAGCCAGGGAGCCCGAGAAACGCAATGAAAGGCATTATAACTCTGACATCCACACGTTGCCACCTGAGCACTCCACACTGGGACCCTGCTGGGGACAAACCGACTGGAAGTGCGGGTGGTGGTCCCATCCCACAGGGCTTTGGGTAAACTCTGCCCACAGCCCCAGAAAACCTGCGAACTCTCCCCATGCACAGGCCAGCAGGCGACAGCCTGGGGCAGACACTCGAGGTGTGTGGGGGGTAGGGCAGGTCCGGGAGGGTTGGTGGGGGTGAGATCTGTGTGGAGATGGTGTTAAGGAGAGAGATGCTCCATTCTCTCCTCGTGACAACACTTGGGACCTCCATCGGAGGACATGGGCCCCTGAGTTCTGAAGTAGAAAAGTCTGTGCCCTTTCCTGATACCATCTTGATCTCCCATGTACATTTGCAGGTGACAGGCCATCACTCAATCACTCATTCATTCATTCACTTGGCAAATGTGCGCCAAGGGCCTGCCAGGTGCTGGGCCGTGCAGTGATGCTGTGCACAACCAGAGACAAGCCCACCGGGTCTCCTGCAAGGGGTCAGACAGCAGACAAAGGCAGAAAACCAGCCCTTAGTGCAGGAGGCACTGCAGAGCAGCTGGAGAGGACAAAGCCGGGCCAAGAACCCAAAGGCCAGCATGTGGCAGCTCAGCTCTAGGGACGTCCTCGAGGCCTTCAGGGTGACATTGTCCTGTGACCACCGATGTTTCTTTAACTCCACCTGTGCTTTGCAGCCGTGAACAGGGGTGTGCTATGCTGCTGCTGAGGGCCCTGGGGCAAGCAGAAGGCCCCTCCGCTGTCTGCTGGGGAGGAGAGACCTGAGCAGGGCCGGTTAAAAACCAGGCTGTGGACAGGTGACCTCAGCCGCCACTGGTACCCAAGCGCAGGACTCTTGGGGCCCACCTTCACTGCCAAGCCCTTCAGCATCACGGTGCCCCAGTGAAACGACACACGAGGAAGGGTCCATGGCGCTCGACACAGGAGGGAACCGACAGTTGCTATGGCAACAGGAGGATGACCATGAGCCTCATTAAGCACTAAGTGACATCATAAACAAAAGCAGAAGGCCACATGATGGATGTGCGTCAGTGCTGGCCCTGGGTCCGGAAGCGTGGGTGGGTTGGCCTGCCTGCCACCCCTTTTCCAGGCAGCAGGTACTGCCAGGCAGCCATGCAGTGTCCCTGTGTCCTCTGCACATGTCCAGCCTAAATGAGCCCATGTTTGGGAGACAGGGTTCTGCTGCTCCCACCTTCTTGTAACCCCCAAAGGCACACGGCCCAGATGAACTGGGCCCTCGGACCAGGCGCAAAGCCAGCTCCCACTCCCGGCGCTCCCTGCCCTCTCCTGGCATTTCCACTCACACGTGACAGTGGCAGCTGTGCCACTGGGGCATCCCTCAAGCGCAGGCCTGGCTGCCACGCTGCCTGCCCTGCTCCATCCTCTTCTGTGCAGAGGTTGTCTGGGGTTCCCAGCACGTCGGCCAGGCCAGGCCCAGCGTGGGACCGCACACGGGCCCCCCAGGTCCAGGCGAGGGGAGCGCGCGTCTCCCACTGTCCGGCGCACAGGGAGCCCCGGAGCCATCAGCAGGCACCCTGAATTTCCCACCCCACCCTCAGAGAGAGCGTCCCCCCAGGTAAAACCTGAAGTCTGGGTCTCATTGGTCATTGAAGCAGCGCGGCGGTGGCTTCATTCAGAGAATCTCTGCTTTCCTCGATCACTTCTGTCATTTCCAGCCACAGCAATATTTTACTCATCAGTTCAATATGTCAGGTTGCCACTCCAAGGGTGACCTCACTTCCTGGAATCCGATAGAGAGGCAGGAGTGTGGACGCACAACTAGCTGCCACGGCACGTGCCATGGCAGACACAGCTCCAGTGCTGTTTCCGCAGGAATGACGCACTGTCTTGCGTAGTGGCTTGTCCAGGCCCCCTCCCCGTTGGTGTTCCTCCCCACCTGCCATGCCACAGACACTAGCGTTGGGGAGACCCCCGCATGGGCCAGCATGATTCTTTCACTCGGTGGACGCATGGGAGTGCTGGGCCCAGGAGGAGCTCATCTCTCCAGCCCACAGGGTCCATGCCTGAGCCACAGCGACCCCAGGAGGAGCGTGCTGCAGCCCCCACCCCTCTCTCTGTGGAAGCAAAGCTAAGCAGTGCCAGGGTCCTGGCAGCCCCTGCAGGTCTCGAGAGCTCTGGGGCCCTGTGAGGTGTGCACGTCGGCCAGAGGTAAGCCCCCCACCCTGCTGCGGGTCTCTTCAAGACGCAGAGGGAGCTGCTGGGGGCAGACCGCTGTCCGCCGTGGGTCACCTGGCGGAGGTGGGGCCTGCTGACCACGCTCTCCCCCCAGGTGGGCATCCTGCTGCACTATTCCACACTCTCCACCCTGCTGTGGATCGGGGTGACCGCCAGGAACATCTACCAGCAGGTGACCAAGAAGGCCCCACTGTGCCCGGGCGCAGACCACCCACCGTACCCCAAGCAGCCCCTGCTCAGGTACCAAGCATGCTTGCGTGTGGCCCACCTACACTCCCAGTCCCCCAGAGTTCCCAACCCTGGGCACCCCTTTCAGGTCTTGGCAAATTTCCTCACCAGGCAGCTTATGGCCTGAGGAGGTTTCATCCACACAAGTGCGGGATACCAGGGGCTGGGCCATGTGCTGGCGGCAGGATGCCAAGGGGGCCTGGGAGTCCCTTGTGCTGGGGTCAGAGGAGCTTCATGTGCTGGGACAGGGGCACCGTGTGCTGGGGGAAGGGGGGGTCCATGTGCTGGGGCAGGATGTCAAGGGTGGCATAGGGAGGTTGTTTTCTGGGGGCGGGGTGCCAAGGGAGGGTGGTCCAGGGCAGGGCTCTGCCATTTGTGGCTGGAGCTGGCTGGGGGTGGTGCCCTCCCAAGCTGCAGAGGGACTGGTGTGGCCATGTGTGCAGATAGGCTCTGGGTGGCCACGGCTTCGGTTTGCTTCATGGTCTCAGTGCCGTTGAGACATCCACTCGTTAGCTGGTAGAAGACTGTATTTTTGTGTTGCTATAACAGAGTTACCTGAGACTGGGTAATTTATAAAGAATAGAAATTTGGCTCACAATTCTGGGACAGCTGCATCTGGCACGGGCCTCAGGCTGCTTCTACTCATGGCAGAAAGTGGCAGGCAGCTGGTGGGTACAAGCAGATCACATGGCGAGAGGAAGCAAGAGACAGAGAGAAGGTGCCAGGGTCTTTTTAAGCAACAAGAGCTCGCTGGAACTAATCCAGCGAGAACTCACTCATTACTCCCCCCTCCCCCAGGGAGAGCATTAATCCATTCATGAGGGATCCGCCCCCATGACTCAATCAGTTTCCAACACTGCCACACCGGAGATCAAATTTCCACATGAGTTTTGGCAGGGACAACACATCCAAACTCCATCAAAGACTGTCACATGCTCAGTTGCTAATTTCAAGGTGACCATGGCCTGGCCTCTTGGGACTGGTGGTGGGTAGACCTGCTCCATCTGGTCGTCCTGCTCTTTTCTCAGGCCGGGGACTCTCAGTAGACTTGGTAGGGACATGGACATGCCTGGGGCCACAGGAACAACCCGCAGGGGCCAGGATGGCTGTGGTCACCTCCCTCCCATCCAGAGCCAAAAGCTAGGGGACTCCTGTGGAACTAGCTTGTCTGGGAGGTGGCAGAAGCTGCTCCCATCCACGAGAAGACAACCCACTGCCGAGGAACCATCGGAAGCTCCTTCAGACGCAAACATGGCTCCACTGTGACCAAACAGCTGTCACTCTGATGGGAGTTCGGTGGCTCTGGCATAGGCCAAATCCCCAACACCAGAGTCAGCAAAAGCCAGGTTCACAAGTGGCCGGCTAGTGAGGCCTTGCGTGTGGCACTGGCTTGTGTGAGGTGCATCTGGCCCAGCCGTCCTCCTGGAGGTCATCTGAGGCTCTGCAAATGCCCACCCCGAGCCACCTGTGGAATTTTCCAGAGTGACCCTGAGTGACTTCGTCCAGGCAGGCTCCATAGACGCAGCTGCCCTGGGGGTTCCTCGGCTGTTTGGGGAGACACTCACCTCCAGGCGATCTGTGCGAATTTGCAGAGCAACCCCTCGGTGTGGTAAAACCACCAGTAGAACTCATTTTGAGGCAGATAAAGCAACACCCTGTGCTGTCTAAGTCAATAAGCTAATTTCCACCTGGAGCGCCTCCTGACGTTGTTTGATTTTCTGATTTGAGCAGACATGTCGCCACTTAGCAGCCAGGGCCGGGGAGATGCCGCGGGGGCGATGCCACCGCTGCTCCTGGGGGCCCGGGACGGAGGACTCATTACCTCTCCTCTCCTGAGGTCCCCTGGGTTTAAAAATCACTCTCAAAATGCATTTCCTCGTCTGTAATTGATTGAAGAGTTGCCTGGGTTTTTGAAGAGTGCGGTGGAAGCCGCGGCGCGTTCCAGCGCTTTCCTCTCTGTCTGGAGTCTTCCAGCTGCACTTAGAGCAGATGCTGCTGGCCAGGCCTGGGGCTTGCCCAGGGGGTCACACCGCAGAGCGGGTGTGGTGCTGACTGGTGGACTCGGAGGACCCCAAGGACTAGCTCACTTGTGGCTCCTCTTGGTGTCTCCTGGAGACCACCACCCACCTACACCCCCCCCCCCC